TTAAAAAGATGACTTAATGTTTTCACCACACAAAGACAACAGCACAAGAAAAGAAGAATAGTAGGAACAAAAGATGAAACTGCATGTTTTATGTGTATCCAATTAGAATGGAAATTAGAACACATAAACCCTTTGAAAAAGAAAACCCCTATAATAAAACATGAACACTTCTGACAACCATGTACTTATTGAGCTGTTTTCTTGTCTAACACTCATGAAAAAAAAGGGGGGGCTAAACATCAAGACATTTTTGCAGTGTAGCTACAACGATTTTTTAAAATGTATTTTGAGGGCAAACATCATATTGTGTTGTAAAAGCTCACAGCAAGAGCTCAACCATTTCTAAGTCATAGTTCCAACACCAGTGAGGAGTCTTTTGTATATAAAATGGGATAAAAACACAAATTTCTTCACTTGTACTTCTATAAACACGCCAGAACATAATGCAGTTAGTGGGAATGTTGTATTTGAGTAAAGGGGGGTCTCTAATGTTTCTCTGATTCTCGGAAAAAATAAGTCTCTTGGCTATTCTAACAGTACAAAAAGTTACCCTGTCTCTCCCTCCCTCTGGGGTCTGTCGAAAGGCTTTCTTACCAACTAAGGTAGAAACAGTCAAAAAACTGAATATGGACAAGTTGGCACAGAACAAAATAATTCCTGAGAGGACCTAATAATCATAGATGGATTAAAACAGTGGAAAGGCTTTGAATGGAGGATTCTGAAAAAAAGTGTGTTTATATTGCTTAGATAACAGGTCACATATTGAACAAAACATAGTCCTCACGTGATATTATGAGCTTCAACAACCATAATGACAACCATGATTGCCTGTGTGGCATCATACTCTGGAAACTCATTTCCCTGGGCTCCTCTAACATCAGGCTGTGACTAAAAAAGGTCAGCCTAATCATTCGCTGATTAAAGAAAAGGCACAGAGCTGAACAAAGCCACAGTGACACATAATGAAGGCTTCAATGCTCGACAAGGCTCCACAACATTGTTGTGGGGATGTGTTCGCACTGGGCAGTGTTCCAGTTTTCTGGTATAATTAGTCAATTTATAATAGTGGCAGAGCTGAGTGTAATTCATTTTCAGTACTTAGAAGTGTCATTTTGACAAAACTGCAGTGATGTAAATAAACACGTCCACATCAGAGGCCGAGCTCATTAAACGATGCAGCCGTGATTAAATCTCTGAAACCTGATAATTCTCTTTTCAAATTCTGACTTTGATTATTGATTGAAATGTCTCCTTCCACCTCAGCAGATGTCAGAAAAGGCTTAAATGACCTTTCTCTGACTCCTCTCCTACCATCATACCCTGAGAGATGCTATCTGGATGCCATGCATGCTAGAATAAAGCATCCTGGAAGGGCCATCTGCCACCGCCACTTTGACCTGGGTGTCCTTGGCGCCCTTGGCTACTCCGCTGCTAATTCCAACCATAAAAACTGAAATAATCACTTTCTCAAAGGGTAAAATGGGACAACAGGGCTTTACCAAACAACTCCTGTCCCCATGCCAAGAGAATTAGCTCCAATTTGCCCTACTGCGACGATCCCCTCGAAGCACGACAAATAAATCACTCCTTGAGGGCTAATGGCGCCTGCAGGAGCCTGTGGTGAAAGCAGAGACTGAAAACATTGCGCTTATTGTCTTCTTCATTCTCCCTAATTACTAGACGGTGCCCTTCCAAGACAATTCATTTAATAACCTTTATTTCTGTATTATAAGAAAGTGGGTTGAGATATAACCAGCTATGAGTGACGTCAGCCTGTCAGCAGCCCTCTAATCCTTCAAATCACTCGTGTGACTGAGACCATGTGATGGAAATAAGGCCTGGCCTCAAATCAGTAAACTCTATGATCTCTTAAAGGGAAAACAAGGACTAGGGCAGTAGAGTGCTGCAGTTATTGCTTTCAATCTATTAAGACCGGAGGCTATTAACAGGACAGAAATAGTTAAACTAACCAAACGTAGCCACACAGTAAATCAAACCAAAAGGGGTCGTACTTGAAGGAGTAAGGGATTCTTCTTACAGTTGCTATTTTGAAGTGGTGCTCAATAGCCTTGCAGCAAGGAATGCACTGAAACCGCTTTCTCAACAGAGAATCAAGCCTCTATAGGCCAGAATGTGATGCAGCTACAAGATGTTGCATTCTGTGTAGGGGAACACAACCCACCTTTTCTCAAATTGAAAATCTATCGCTTTCATGTCTTTCCTAAGGTACCATGAGGCTATCGCTGTTTTTCTAGCTGTATAACCAACAGCTGAAAGCTTAAGTTTGCAGCTGTATTTTTGGGTTATCAAAGGTCATCCTGGGAAATGGAGGAAGTCACTAACTGAAGCAGAAGTCCTGTAAAACATTAAAGACTGATAATACTTGCAGTAAGTGTTTGAGAGTGTGGTTCTCTTCTAATCATACACTGTCTAGACATGCACACTATAGTTATTCAATTATGGGATGTAGATATACAAGGTCTTAATATACATCAGTTGCTAAAAGGGTTATATGTTATATATTTTGTTCACAGTAAAGTTGATCCTCCTTTAGGGTGGCTAATTTCAATCCAACTATTTAGCCATGCTGGTAGCACGGTTCTACAGATGGCTGGTCCACCACTTACAGTTCAGACTTTCCCAACAGTATAGTGTATATCATGAGGTCGATATTTGTGCTTTTGAATATAATATATCAACAATATATATACAGTCCACACCTAAACTAGTGTCACTCATTCTCTAGGTTTCTGACACGTCCTTGACCAACAGCAACTGAGATTCACCCACGATGATCTCTGCTTTTCATGTAATAACAGGCTGCTGTGTCTGGGACTTGCCTATTTGTCATTTAATGCCAGCTCTAGAGAGAATTCAGGCGGTTTTATAAATCATTCAGGGAGGTTCAGATCCATTGTCCTTGATAGGGTGCTCGTGCTTGCTTATCACAGTCGTTTCCTCCGACAATAACAGGAAGGCCAGTCACGTAAAAAAAAAAAAAAAAAAAGTCATCCTGCTGTGGCCAAAGCCAAGTGGGAGCTCTGGAAATGAACATCTCAGTCTGTTTCCTCCCTGCATGTGTTTGACACACTCAGCAACTCAGCAGCTAAAGCCTACTCCCAACACAAGACGAGGCTACCTTTTCATTAGCAATTATAGTGTTTTCTCGAAAGTGGCAGCAGCTGAACCCAGAAGACCCTGTAATGTTGCCTCTCTCTCTCTCTCTCTCTCTCTCTCTCTCTCTCTCTGACGGCTTCTGTGTGAAACTATCATTACTACTGCTCGTGCCATTATAGCTGGCAGCCGCTGACTGGTCCTATTCATGCCACAGCATGTGAATATGGATCAGCCCCCCCTGTATACACGCTGAGGTCACGTCTGAATCACTGCCCCAGCAAATGACTAAGATCAGATAAGGCTGAATGCTGACATTTTATCAAGATGGAAGACGATTATTTTACCCTCAGTGTTTAAAAGCTTGTTTATCAGTACAGCTAAGCCCCTTTCTATAATTCTATAGGATGAGTGGGTTGGAAAAGCGTTACTTGTATTGTATTGTATTTGCCTGATGCAATCTTAGACTCATTTCCTTAACTCTCCATGGTATAGCACTTCCGCACCCAGCAAATTGTGCATCAGTGCATCAGTAAAGCTTCACTGCTCACAAACATTAAGCTTTACTGAAGAACGAATTGCAATTGAGCACATGGACAAACAACTAATTCCTTATAGCGGAAAATGATCAGTTGTAGCTAATCACATAGCAAGTGACAGCAGTCAGATTAATTCCTGCATAATTATGTATGTTCCCACCAGTAAAGTGTATTTATAGTCACCTCTTGTGGCTTAAAAGTGACTGGGGAGCCGATGCTAGCTTTACTTGGCACAGAGGAAATAGCTAAGGTGTCTCCTTTCTCTATATTTGACAGCATCAATTTCCTATGCAAGACTTGTGCAATATTACATTTTCCCAGTGGATATGCTTTGGTCGAAATGCAAGACTGAGATTTATTTCAGTTATTACTCAAAAACAGACATTTAACAAAACAGAATGGGGATTTTAAAGTGAGTGTGCACTTCTTAGGCTTGTATATAAGAGATACTTCAAAAATCTCCCATTGGTATTACTATGAAACTACAAAGGGAACTTTTAGGTTTGCTTGAGCTTTGGTAAAATATGTTATTTAATGGAAGGATAGCAACTCTTAAAATATAACCCTGGAGGCATTACTACCATGTGAATTAAGTCAGGAGATGCACAAATATGTGTTTAAGTCACATGGTCTGCAATTACATACTACCTCAGGTAAACACTACCTGTGGCGCATTAGCAAAAACAGGTTGGGTTTTTATACCATCAGAAAAACCATTAGCCTTTAATTGCAATGTGCATGCATACTGTATAATACAAAAGAAAAGACAACAACCGCGGTCCTGTTTTCCTATGAGTGCACTAACCTGCCTAGATTGCACCTGCCCAGTTCAAATACAAAAGTTGTCTCCTATGTAACAAAGTGGATTCCCATGCCAAAGCGATACAGTAGTAGCTTTTTGTTAACAGATAAAAGAGCAAACACCGAGCTGAAACGGGATAACATCACCGAGGAGGGTTACATAATAAAGATGGGAATAAACGAAACGCACTGTAAGCGGTGTGAGGATATCACATCCGTCAGGGAAAAAAATAAAAAATAAATGATGGAGAATTAATGAATGTGCACATAAAGACCCCGCAATAATAGAACAGAGGAAAACAAGCGCTCCACTCTGCAAAACGCACAGAACGGATGGGCTGGACGTTTTTATTTCAGAATAGCGTGAGCTCATATTGCCTTCAAATAACGACCCGGACAGACAATTTGTGGGGAAATCCGAGTCCGGCACAAACAACCGGGGTCTACCCCGGGTTGCCAGTTCCTTGCCGAAGTTTTCAAAAACGAGGGTGGAGAGACAAAAGCCTCAGATGGTAAGCAGAAATCGCAAAGCTCCAAGCGCCTTACCTCGATCCAGAGAGAGCGGTTGGACCACTGTCGCCATGACTGCTGTTTACTGGAGACTGGAGACACTACAGGAGCTGCAGCATCACAAGAGAGAGAGAGAGAGAGAGAGAGAGAGAGAGAGAGGAGGGGAGGGGGGTTAATCTACCTCCATCCACATAATATCTCATCACCTGGAATTGATTGCATATGAACAGCAGCTTTATACACACACAGTTATAGTGGAAAAAAAAGCTCCATCTAAACAAAATGAGGCAGAACAGTCCGCTTCTATAAAATATAAAAGATATGTATTCAAGATTTTTTTTTCCAAAGCTTTTAAGAAAATGTATTTTTAACACTTAATACAAGATTTAATTGCTCGTCAAGATGATTTTGCAGTTGAGTGGATGTCAACTGCTTTAAAAAATAACTAAATAAAAAGACAGGAGACAGATTTAACTCGAGTACATAATATGGACAAAAAGTATGTAGACACCCAATACCGGATGTGTACTCCTGAGCACCATGCATCATGCTTGGGCTATTTAATATTCTGCTATTAAAACATCCACTCTTCTTGTTCCAGGCTTTCTATGCGATTTTGGAGACTGGCTGCAGGAATTTGCTCCCATCAGCCACAAGAGGATTTGTGAGGTTGGTCCCTGATGATGAGACCTGGCTCAGTGTGCTCCTTGGAAGGCCTGGTTTACACTTGGTGTTCTTATTCATCCCAAAAATGCTGGGATGAGAGCAGGTCAGTCTAGTTCTTCCACACTGAACTGGGAAAACCAGCTCATTATGGACCTTGCTTTGTGCGCGTGGGCACTGTCATGCTGAAACAGGAGAGGTGCTTCTCCATAATGTTGCTACACTATTGTCTCAAATATTTTAGTATGCTGTGGGATTCCCTTAAGTTGAATTAAGAGGTTTAAAGTCAAAAACATAAAAAGACACAGACAAAAACAGAGCAATTATAGTACACAAAAATTTGGACCACATACATTGGGCTATAAACGTATTAAACTATCCCAGGCAGTGGAACATCAGTCATTTATTTATAGTCAATTATTCCTATATGTGGCCTCACCATTCACGAGTCAACTAGTGGCCCTGGGTTGCATGCTGAGTCTCTGAACCATGCACATGTGTGTTCCTGTGCCTGCATGTGTAACTGCTTAGCCATGTATGTTCCAATCACCAGTTGCACTACAGCGATCAGCTGATTGCAACCAGTGCCATTAAGGTTTACTGTGAACCGCTGAGCCATGCCGCCTGCCTGTTATCTCCTCTCTTGGCAACATGCACTGCATGCAGCCTGATAAGGACTGAATGGTGGTAGTGAACCTTTGTTGAAGGGCTTAAGGATTAATCCTCATGTTTATGAGCTACCACAGAACGGAGCCAAACCACTGGCTCCCTTCATTTACTGTAGATCTGCTGCCTAATGGTGCCTGGTGCTGTGGCATATCTCGTACATGGCCAGTCATTACACTTGACAGAAGCAGTGCTCAACAAAAACAAGTAGCAAATCCCTGGTTAGGGGGTACGTTAAGGCAGCATGACAACGCATGGCTCACAAACCATGACTTCACTGTGACAAATGCAAGCTGTAGACAGGAATACACACCTGGGGCCAGGACCAATATTCAGTGTGCACAGCTATTCAGAGCACAATCCACACTTAGACACTGAAATCATTTGAATCTCATTTATCTTTCTTGTATGAAAGAAAAAGAAAAATCACTTGCTTTAGCCAGAACCCATTTGGGAAGCAATTGCTTCACTTCTAACCTCACTTCACTTCAAATTGGCAGCTCTGGAATAAGTCCAGGAATTAAAGTTTAAAACTGTAAAATCAATGTACCTTTGCATTTCAGTTAGATTCAATTTTCAAATTTTTTAAGCATTTAAGGGAATATTCTATCATTATAATCTGTTCTATTTTTGATTGAAACTGTTACTAAACCTCGTCCATATGTGCTAGTGAATTCCAGCCGCCCACAGACCCTCCCAGCTGCATGCAGATGTGAACTGGTGGTAAGTGGTGGGCTGGACGGGCGGATAGAAAGGGCGAGGGTTTAGAGAGCGCATGGAAAGAGGGCACAGAGAGATTACAGGCTCCCATCCATATGGGCTGGGATACAGTTCTGCTTTTTTTTTTTTTAAGAGGTGGGATTACACTGCAGTGCTCTTAAAGCCCTTTAACTGCGAGTGAATTGATTTCTGAAAGGTCTCAACTCTCACAGAAAGAGATGCAAGAGGCCGGGTAGACAGGACAAATACAGACTAGTGTGTTTGCCTTTCATATTAAAGCTTATAACATTAGTCAATATCAGAGTGTTTGTTGGCACCAATCCCCATCAGTGCAAAATAAATTCAACAGGTACTGCCTTTAAAGGAATAGTTCTCAGAGAAATATTCTTACCGGTATTGGCTTTCTTGTGAGAGTTATAAGAGGATTAATACCACTCTCATGTGTAAGCCTATATACAAAGATACAACCAGCAGCTGGTTAGCTTAGCTTAGCATAAAGACTGGAAACAGGGGGAAACAGCTAGCCTAACTCTGTCCAAAGCTAACAAAAACTATCCAAAAAAAAGTGATTTATGGAGTCTCTGCTGGTTGCATTTAAAATCTACAATATATTAGTTTCCTCTGATTCGTAGTGTGGGATGCTGTCATTACTTTCTGCACTGAAGAAGAGCAGAATTGATTCATTGAATGAACACACGTATCCACAAAATAATTGTTCATCTTGTACTTATTAAAAAGGAACACTGGGTGATGAGTTTTGACAGCTATTCACTCTGATCCCTGTGCAGCACTGACTTTAATTTAAATGGCATGTTACACTGGGTAGGACATTTCCTGTTGACCTGAGAAAACCTCAAAAATAATGTATTTACATAATAGTTATTGTGAAGGTTTGACGTGACATGCTGCTTTCCCACAGCTGCTCTGTTGTTTATTACCAAGCTCCATCAGGCAGCTGCTGACAGAAAATGAAAGTAGATCATTGTGTAAACATGTGGGAGGTTGACTGATAGACAAATCTTAAAAATAGTATTTATTTTATAAGGCAATTTGACACAACAAATAGGCTTTACAATTTTCTTTACAGGAACAACTAAGGGAAGTAGCTCCATGGTGATATTCCCTTCTGTCACTGTCACTTCTTAAGTCTGTCTTCCACCGGTACAGACTTTCATTGTTTGTAATTGGAGCAACTTTGGGATTAAATGTCTTGCTCAATGGCAGTTAAACGGAAGATTTGCAACACTGATTTTTAGCATATCATGCTTTTGCCATTGGGATTTTAACCTGTAACACAACTTTATTCTAACTATTAGGCTACTGACGCCCTCTTCAGGGAAACAGCACTCATTCACTTTGTCAAATGGAAATAATATATGACATAAAAGTAATGACATTTCACACTAGTTCACTTTTCCGAGTGATTTAATCTGACTTCATTTGTACAGAGAGCAAATAGGAGTGTATTGCCTTATTACACAGCATAAAATAATACAATTTTACGATGCTCTGCTTCTGCTTATTTGGCCTTTTCGTTGCTTATCGGTTGACAGTAAAACATATTAAGACATCTGTTTATATTGAGATACAGCCCCTCCTGCACATCTCAAATGCGTAAAAGCTCAAACAAATATCAGCCTCTTGTTATCTCCTGCTTTGACTTGCATTAAATAAAGAAAATTACCAACAGTGACATTGGCGTTTATATACCTGGGCTCACATCAGTGTACTTCATGAAATGATAGTGCCCCTAGTCTGTATGCTCACTTTTAGACAATTATTAAAGCAAATTCACTCAGCTGTAATAATCTGCAATGACGTATCAGTTATTTTAAACTATGAAAAATGTTGACTGTAATCATTCACAAAGCCTCTCCGACCAATTGCTGCTAAAACCCATTCAAAATGTTAAACAGCAATCATTATCTTCAAACTAATTTGATTATAAATCCATATTAAGACACTCTGTGGGGGGGAAAACCACTGCTTGGAGATTAATCATTTTCAGATAAACTCTGGTAATTTGCCTTTGACTGTTTCTGAAGGGCAGCTGACAAAGGGCAAGATGGAGGGCGCCATAATGAGCCATGTTGGACTCCGGTTTAGGTCTCATTGGCCTCTGCAAGCAGCTGTTGGTTAGTCTTCTGTCAGTGCACGTCCGGTGCCACAGAGTGTACGAATGATACATATTCTGCCAATTGCATCTGCACTGTTATAAAAAGAGTTATGGCAGTGTCTGGGGGAGCAGTGATTTAGCGAGGCCTTTTGGTCAGACAAATTACAGCCTGAGAGGAGAGGGGAGGCATCTTTTCTCTGTCAAAGCCACATGAATATTTACATGCCCCCCCCCCCCACCTCGGCATCAATAATAACAATTTAAATATAGTTTATATATAATATTTATATATAATAACAATGTGCAATAATTACTGTGCAATACCATTCCATATTCACTGTGCAATATATTGCTCATGTGCCACTGCTGCTACTACTATTTGTGTTATCTTTTGTTTGTGGTTTCTTACTGTTTGTGGGTTCTTACTGTTTTTTCTCTTGTACATAGTGTTTTTATTTATTATTTTCCTACTCTTATTGTTTTTTATACAGTTTTTTCTCTATCCACTTTGCTGCTGCAACATTGGAATTTCCCCATTGTGGGACAAATAAAGGAATATCTTATCTTATCTTATCTTATCTTAAATGTGATGAAACTTGAATCAATATGAGGGAAGAAACGAGCACAGATAATTCACACGATAGGACTGGAATGTAATGGATTGATCTTTAATAATTTAGAATATGGAAAATCTACACAGTTTCATGTTGACAAAGGGTGCAATAAAAATGCTGTTTTTCTGAATGATATCTTTTGTCTGTCACTCGGGACAAAGAGCTGTTTATTTTCCCAACATACCGCTGTAAAAGTTCCAAGTTGGTTGTCAAATTTCTTAAAACTCGTGCATTTGGTTAGAAATGTAACACAGTAGTTGCAAGGCAATACAAAAGGTTTCCTGGAAAGTGCATGATGCTTCCAGAACTAACTAATGGAAAACACTGCTCAGCATGTATAAATA